TAGCTGACAAAGAGACCTCAAATTACTGCCCTTAATTATTGCGAAATATACTGTCTAACTCAAGGTAGAATTCTCATATTATCGAACGTCTTCTTATTTTTATGAGTGCCAATATTTGGCATAAATAGCATATGGCAGTAACATTTAACTGAAAATATCTGTGAATATACTGGCCAAGACCCTATAAATCGTTCTCTCTTTGGATAGTTATAGAGGGAATTTTACAACTCACAAACCAATTATAATTGGCCCTTTTCACCAGAGATTTTTGGAAGTTTTGGTTGCACAAACTTATTGGCACTAAATATGTAGATGATTGGTTTCCATTCTGAAACGTCAAAATAGAGGTAGGGTACCTGTGCAGGCAGCAGAGAGGAATCTGCAAGTATGAATGATAATTTGCTCTTGCAGCCATGAGAGCCCTGTCCCTTCGAGAGTGACGTTTTTCACCACACACCTTACAGTTTGCCTATCATGTGAAATTTGTACGTTAGGATAGCAGTATCAAGAAAAGAAGCAAAAACCAGTTGACATAATACTAGCTCCAAAATATTTTACTCAAACTCGAGCAAATAATGCAAACGGACGACGTAGGTCACAACTTTTTTAGGTGAAGACTACATCATATTTAATGTAGTTCTGTGTGCTTTTTCTTGTTTATGTGTGTATGAGAAGCAAAAGGGGACAAGGGATTGAGAAGATATCGATAATTCAAACAGTGTCGGATAATAATCAAACGAATAATTGTGAAATTATTTAATGCGAATAGTAGTTGTACACAAGAAAAGTAAGCCAAAACATAAATGACGGCCCCCCACAGAAAACGTGCATGGATACAAGTTAAGAAGGATAAAAACGTTAATAATTTTGCTGAACAAATTTGTATCTACTGTTCAAAAGGAACCTACTCCCAATTTCCAAGTCGATGCTAAGTTTGTATCTGTTACAGCTAACTTCTATAGCAAACATTTTCTCCTTTTTGTCTGTTAGTGTGACTAAAGAACAGACGTGAAATGGACAGCTAAAATTTGATTGTTACAGATTTTCACGAGTGGCGTCTCTCCAATTCATTACACATTAGTACCATTCGCGAAAAGGCCCCAACAGTATGTAATCCTCAAAAATAGGTATTCATGGTCCAGTCCATGTGACTAATGATCTCAGTTCAACTTTTTTATATTCAGATTGCCTAATTTGTGTGTTTAGATTGGGCCGGTGTGTGTTTTTCTCTTGTTCATGTTCCTATGGGTGATGATTATCTTGTTTTTCACATTCTTCATGGACTAAATCCTGATCTCAGAGATTTTTGCTGCTCTTCATGCTCAGGACAACCATTATGGTTTTGATGAAATTCATGACAAACTTTGTTAGTACAAGACTTTGCCAAGCAAGAAGTCTCTTGTTGCGTGATTCCTTGTTATAGATAATTTTGTCTCAGTAAAGTAATAAACTTGCACTCAAACAGACTTCCTATGCCAATATGTTCGTAAGGACCGTAATTTGTTTTATGACCACTGGGTGCATCACCCCCACATGCATCATTGCCTCGATCCCACTACCGATCGCGTTTTTAATCTTCTTAGACATTTATTACGATTGATTCACATCCTGTATTTATTGATCCATATTCCTCTATTAATTTTCTCACGCAAAATGTTACCAAGTTCTTTCAAATCTTGTGGAAAATGAAGGAATCCTACAGTAAATTTAATATTTATAAAAAAATAATTATTTGTTACAACCAGTTCAACCCCTATTGAACCCTCTGATCCTTGAAACGTTACATTTTCTGGGTCAATCCTCGGACCTATTTTCAATACATTGGTTCTTTCTGGGCACAAATGTGTCAATTAGTTTCCCACTTTCCTTTCTTGCATTGCTTCCAGATTTCACACATTACCCTCACTCGCATCAATTAATACTACTAAATATAGCCATCCTTACCAACCATGCACGTGTCGGCCAAATCATCAACTCGACTTTACATTTTACGTAGAGTTTTCACATGTGCGTTAGAATCTTTATAACATGATCGTTGATGATCGTCTCATTCGTACAATTCTCTTTTGCCCTCAAACACTTATCGGTTATTCAGTCATTCTCAACACAATATTTTCAAGTCAAATAAAACATTTACTTTTTATGCCAAAACACACACCGTTGGTGCTAAAAAAAATTTCCCAAACGCTTAAAAAGCATAGTCTCTTTCAAGACAATTGGGTACAAATGGGTTTTCCATATCAACCATTCCATCAACAATCCTGTCTTGCTTAAACTGATACTTCTAGTTGTCAAGCCTACCCCCAAATAGTTATTCTGAAAGTTTTTTATTTTTTTATTTGAGAATAAATATATTCATGTTTTGCTTGATAAAACCTCTATGACGGGCCATGAAAGTTCGAACACCATTGTTAACAACCACTCACTAGAACGCTACCAAGTGAAAATTTTAAGGTTCTTGAAAGCTACAATGTTTCAAACACTCATCTTTCAAAAACATTCCCCTTTAAATCTGTGCACACTCTTAAATGCTAATAGATCGTCAACATCTTCTTATGACTCTTCGGACATAACCCACATCCAATTACTTGGAATTCCAAGAAGAAACAATGTGGTAACTTCTCCTCTGATCAAGTATATCTTACGTGATTAAGATATCCAAATCACCATATCAAGTAAAATTCTCCTGTGATCAAGGAAATTCATTTTCAAGGGATACTCCCCCGTGATCAAGTATAATTTATGTATTAAGGGACACTCTCCTATGAATCTATGTCAAGGTCAATCACAGAGAAATTCTTTATTTGCGTGTGTTGTGCATATAATTTCTCCATAATTGTTGTGCAGAAATTTGCACTGTCCCTGTTTGAGTCACATTAAAATTTACATTCACATTCTTTTACTTATTTTCAACCACACATTTTTCAATAAAATAATATTTTCCATCACATCAATAATTTTTCCTTATTTTTTAACCACATATTCACCATCATATCACAAAAAAATGCATTCTTTCCATTTTAATGTGCATCAAACACACTCTGAATATTTTTGTTTAGTTTTTCAAAAACTTGTTTTAAATAAATTAAATTGATGAATCGATTTTCACATGTCGTCATACTAGATTGGATAGCACGACACGTATCAT